AGCTGAACAAATCTAATTTAGGGAATGTAACGACAGGAGATTCGCGAGCACCTGATCATTAGTAAAACGAGAGCATGAACAGTAAATTGCCGTTGCAAGAGCAAGCAACCCTGACCAAACTTGTAAACAGTGCTCAAGATTATAATAATGATTCTATTGATAACGTTTGATATTTGTGAGATGTCAATAAAAATGATCATATCGATAGTAATGTTGGTTATGGTGATAACGCTTTCAATAGTAACACATTGCCGATATGATACTGAAACTAATTAATACTGTTGAAACGAAACCAAAAACTAACTGAGTCCGAAGTGTGAAAGCAGCCGATGTGATTGATGAAGGTAGATTGAGTCCTTTGGTGATTTCACGCCATAACTTCTTATTGATGATCTCGACTAGACCGCCGTGTTGAACAACCAAACGATACAGCTCATACAAGTCCAACACTTGCTTGGCCATTATTGGGATTCGTGTCACTGGCTTACCTTCAAATTCATGAATTTAGCATTTAGTAGATTCACGGCCATTTGTATCCCATTTATCTGATCCATTTCCCATCATTTTCATGCTGTTATAACGATACTTTTTACTGACTCTCGCCGAATGAGCACAGCGATTTTAGTTCAGAAATTGCGACTCTTCACCTCGATTGCTCACCTTTACCCGCACAAAAAATAACTTAGGTCAACAGGTCTTCCAGTTGCTGCCTTGACCCTCAAGAGGTGTTTTCGATATGATATTGAAATTGTAATAATATCAAAATTGTGAATTATAATATATTGAAATTTTAAACAAGAGATGTTTTCGATACGAAATACATGAATATTAACGAATAACCATTGATCGTGATAACTGCATAAGAATAAGTTACAATGAGCTGTGGACAGATAAAAAACATAAATGATACTAAACCAAAACATGGACATACGATAATGATGATAACACTAATCATAACAATCATAAAGAACGATAATCACAAACGCGCATAAATTCAATCGCTTCTACGGATTCATAATACCATGAAAATTTCCGAAACAAGAAAATTAATAAACAATCCACGAAGGAATAAATAAATCCCCACAGAATCGTCAGTAATGAAAGGAATGAATGAAATTTGATAGAACAAATACAATGAATTAAGTAAACATTTGATGAATACTCGTAATGTAACGATAAAATGATGACGAAGATGATTTGTTGTACTGTAAACATTATGTGTTTAACTACTTAATTGCTGTCGAGATAAGATCGATCGATGTATTTGCTGTATAATCGTCTAATTATTCACCACTTCAACAACTCAATTACTTCACTTATGAACATTCGACAAAGCAGTTTAAACATTTTGACAGGTATATCATCACTAATCTGAGTATCACAAAAGCTGCCATTTTTTCATTCCTTTGACTTGCTCGAGAACTATTCACATTCGAGGCAATTCGATTCCCTCAACCCTTTGAATTGAAGAATTCTATCAATTCACCCAAGTTCTTTTAATAGGGATCCATATGAACAGACAGGGAGATTATATCCATGAGAATAGGTTAAACTGTTTGTTTATAGCACGAATATGGTAGACACTGACGTTTTTTCATTACTTCCTTAACAATTTCATAGCCAAAGTCGAGTTCATTTAGGGTGATGAGTTCATTTCATCCTAATGGCATTTCAGTTCACTTTGGGTGATGAAGATAATACCAATAGTTGCAAGATAATACCAGCAATAATAATGATAATGAAATAATAAATACTACATAATACTAACAATTTTACATCATTATTCATATACACTATTCGTAAGACATTCAACAACTTCTCATCAAATAAACATAGAAACTTCCTAATAATACTCATCACTTCATCATTAATATCATTGATAACCTAGTCTAATTTACCAATTGTACTTTCACGTTACTACCACATATAATAAAATTGCAGTGTCCAACATTTTTATTTAGCACCACTATTCTATATACCATTTTGAATGGTACTTTGTATTCGTCATGTAATCTGCATATATCCCTTCTACAAATCTCAAATATCCTCTCGAATAAACTTCTCTCCTTCCTTTTCAATGTAACAAATCCCTCGAGAAGTTAAGTCAATAAACTTATCAAATATACTGTTTAATATATGACTACATAATAATAATAAGAATAATAATAATAACAACAATAGCAATAATAATAGTAACGTGAAGTGTATATAAATAAATTATAACATCAATGTACAATATAAATAAG